GCGGGGCCGCCAGGAGCCGCTGGGGGATCGCTCTCAAGCAGCAACGTGGGTGACAGCCAAACCACGCTCCGCATCAGGCCGGGGTCCCCCGCCGGACGCAGCAGCCACGTCACAGCTTACTCGAGCCCACCCAGCAAGCAAGCGGCCTCGCCGAGACGCGAGCCTGCGGGAGCGCACGGCTGCGAGCGAGCAGCTAATGCCGAGCAGGCTCCGAGGCCAAGAGCGGCTCTCCGGAGAGGCGGAGGGTATCCCAGCCCCGAGCCAAACGCACCGAGGCAGGAAATTAACTCCTTTGCCGAGGGCCGTTCCAGCACACGCCGTATCTGCCAGCGGCTGTGCGAGCCCTTTGCTGCCGGCTGCGGCGCAGCGGGGGGGCCCTTGGGCTCTCACCTTGAAGATACTGAACAGCCCCACAGATTTCTTGAAGACATCAGACCTGACAAAGTCTTCCAGCTTGGCCAGGGTTTCCTCCAGGTGATTTATTGCACATATCCCAAAGCAGGAAGCAAGCCCCTGGAGGAAGCAGAGAAAACACATTAGCAGAAAGCTATTAATTCACCAGCCCCAGCTGACGCTGCAGGAGAGCCCGTTTGTTGGTTTAATTCCCAGCACCTGCGCCGTGCCCAGCTGGGAGCAGTCCTGGCAGCCAGCCCTCCCCTCTCCCAGGGCAGGGGCTTGCCTCCGGGGGGGACACAGGGCACAATAACCCTGTCCTCGCCTGGGTGACAGGCTGGGACACGGCTCCAGGGGGGCGGTGGGGGCGGGATGGTCGCGGCACGCTCTCCAGCGGGCAGATGTCAGCCGCTCTGCGGGAGACGGGAGCCCGCTCGAGCGTTGCGGCTGGAAGCGAGGGCAAGGCAGGCTTAGCAGGTCCTGCCTTTCTGCTGTGCCTCCAGGAGGCTGGGCTGGAATTCCAGAAAGAGTTTATGCAAGAGCAGCCCTTGACGGAGTTGCAGAAGCTGGAGCAAGGCCAGGCACCGTCAGCTCGTGTTTGCTCGGCACTTAAAGGCAGCTGAGGGCGGGGGGAGCGCTCGGCAGCGGGCGATCGGGCCGGGCAGAGCAGCGCGGCTCGGCCGAGCGCCGAGGGGAACCGGGGGGGGGGTGCTCGGCACTAAAGGCAGCTGAGGGCGGGGGGAGCGCTCGGCAGCGGGCGATCGGGCCGGGCAGAGCAGCGCGGCTCGGCCGAGCGCAGAGGGAAACCGGGGAGCGTGAAGCCAGAGCATGAGTCTGGCCAGGACGGGCAGGAAGAGCTCGACCCCGACCTCGGCTCCGGGGAGGCGAAGGAGGGTCTGAGCTGGTGGCGGATCCACGGGGCTTTTCAGCGGGGCCTGCAGCGACGGGACGAGGGGCGATGGCTCTAAGCGCCGAGGGGGCAGATTCAGCCTGGCTCTGGGGAGGAAATGCTTTACGCTGCGCTGGGGAGGCACCGGCACAGGCTGCCCGCAGCGGTGCTGGATGCCCCCTCCCTGGAACCGTTCCCGGTCAGGCTGGACGGGGCTGGGAGCGCCCTGGTCTGGCTGCAGATGTCCCTGCTCGTGGTGGTGGTGGGGGGCAACACTGGGTGGGCTTTGAAGGTCCCTTCCCACCCAAACCATCTGATGATTCTATGACTTGAGCGCACGAGCTGGAGGTTGCCCAGGAAAGGTGGAATCGCACCCCCAGCGGCTCCAGCAAAGGCGGCAGCGGGTCTGTGGTGTTCCGTGGCTGCGAGGCTTGATGGAACGCAGCACAGGCAGATAGAGATGTCCCCGACCATCCTGGCACCGTCACGGGCTGCTGGAGCCCAGAGAAACATCTTGGCATGCTGGAGATGCTCTGGGGAGCAGGGGGAGACGCTGCCGCAGCCCCCAGGGTGACACCAGCTCGGTGGGCGGCAGCCAGAGGAGGGGGAAAGAGCTCCCCACGGGGACGGGGCAGCCTTGAGGGTCCGAGGGAGCAAGAGCTCACACCGGAGACAGGCGTTAACGCCGCCGAAGGTGGGAATGTTTCATGATTCAGCCCCGGTAACTCAACAGTTGGCTGTCAAAGCAGGGCGCCGAGCCCATCCGACCCCATGGCACGCCAGGACAGGCAGCCAAGTCAGAAGAAAATTCCTGGTTTCCTCCTGTGGCTCTGGCTTAACTCCCCAAACCTGTGGGGCTACATGAGCCCCAGCCCAAGGACGAAGCAGGAGCCCAACAGCCCCTTCTGGCAGCAGGCAGAGGCTGGCTGGGCTGGCAGAGCTGGGCAGGCTGCTGGGGACAGGGTTTAGTGGTGGGATGGCAGGGTTAGGTTAAAGGTTGGACTCGATGATCTTAAAGGTCTTCTCCAACCAAAGTGATCCTAAATGATTTAGCGGCTCATGAACAAGCAGCATCCTTATAAACAACTAAGGAGTCTGAAAGAGGATGGCAGCGTACTCAGTGAATCAGCACTGCTGAATTTTTAGACCATGCATACTGACATAAAAATAATAAATATGTGTGCATGCATGCAGGGGGAATATAACTTCTACCCAGTGGGGTTTTCCTATGAAATTTCCTTTGGAGGACAGGGCAGCGATGACAGCTCTGCCCACGAGGTGGCCCTGGTAGAGCCCCAGCAGCTCCAAACAAACCCAGGCTGTCCCTGCACCTCCGTCCCTGCCACCTGCAGACACCCTCGTGGCACCAAAGGATCTGTGGGTCCTTTCATAAGGTTCAGCGCAGGGTCCTGCACCAGCACAGGCTGGGGGGCGATGGGTGGGTGGACTGGGGGACACTGGGGGTGACAAAGGGGACATGAGCCAGCAATGAGCGCTGGCAGCCCAGCGAGCCAAGCGTCCCCCGGGCGGCATCCCCAGCAGCGGGGGCAGCAGGGCCAGGGAGGGGATTCTGCCCCTCTGCCCCGCTCTGGGGAGCCCCCCCGGAGCCCCGC